CAAAAATATTTTAAAATGGAACTTTTTTCCTAAGAGAAAGATCGTAGTATATCTGAATTCATTATATCTGAAAAGGAAATATTACAAATATAGTATGACCTGAAAGTCATGTAAAATAGAAACTTTAGTGCAAAAGTACATAAAACTTAAATTTTAATATTCCAATGAGCTTTAAGGGAAAAGTTTATATGGGTTTTCAGCAGCAAAAGTTTTGGGTTTTTCACTTTGTTGAAAGAAGTGTATTTAGATAAAGTTTATCAAGTTCTTCCTGCTTTCCAACTTACATGCTAAGTGATGTGAGGCAAGCTACCTTTTTTTCTATAGAAAAAGATGCTTGTGGTTTGTTTTGAGCTGCTAGTTGAAAAGTCAGTGGATTGAACCCAGTGGTCCCTCAGCAGAAAACACGGCTGTCTGCTCTTGTAAAGATTACAGCCTCGGAAAAACACTAGGGATAAATTCCGTTGTGTTTTATAGAATTACTATGAATTAGAATTGACTTGTTGACAGTGTGTTTGGGATTTCTTTCCTTATAGACTTCTTCTCACTTTGCACAGGTTATATCAAGAGCCAGTCGCCAGAGAAGGACATCATGTTTAGTTAAGGGTTAGTAGAAAATATTCTATATAAGATGGGTCGATGCAGTGGTGACAATAATGGGCTCCAAGAGATCAGCAATTATGAAACTGGACTGGGCAGTGTTTAGTTTTTTCGCTAGTAGGTTTGTATGAATTGGAACTGACTTCATGGCACCTAACAACAAGAGAGTTATAAGAAGAGTATATAGCAATGCAAGATTTTTACTTTTACTTTTCAAAGAGAAGAGCAAATTGGGGGGGGGGCAGGGAGAAAAGTGCAACAATGAATGAATGGAAATCTGAAGTCTCTGTAAACTTTCATTAAAATTAATAAAAATTAAAAAAAAAAGAAGAGCCCTGATATGGTAGCATAATGGGCCAAGTACAAGTTTGCCAATTTGAACGTGCTGGGTGGTGTATGGGAAAAAGAAGAGGAAGTTAGTTTCTGTTAAGATTCACAGTCTCTGGAACCTGATGAGGGAGTTCAGCTCTATCCTACGTGGTCTGTTTGAATCAGAGTCTTTTTAACAGCTCTGAGTTTGATTTTAAGTTTAAGATTAATAAGCCTCGGAGAAAAATCTGTGTAAAACTGAAGGCTGAGCCATGTCACAACCAACTGCTGGTGCTTCTCATCCTCACTAGAAAATTATCGTTGTTATCATTAGTGCCTGGATATTAACAAGCTTTGTGTATTTTTGTGTTTCTTCTCTCAGTGTGTATTCTTCCTTCTCTCAACATTTGCACACAGCTTTTACTTAATATTGTTAGCTCAATAGTTTTAAAATGTTTTCAGTTCATAAGGAGCCATGGTCACATAATGGGTGAAGCACTCAGCTGCAAACTGAAAAGTCAGTGGTTCGAACCCACTGACCTCTCCACAGCCAAATGAAGTACATTCTACTTCTATAAAGATTACTATATGGAAACCCCATAGGTAGTCCTACTCTGTCATATAGGGCTACTCTGAATTAGAATCAATCAGATGACAGTAGATTTATTTTTCAGTTCTTAAATTCATATCTGTTGTTTCCTCTTAGTCTTATCCTATTTATCATCTTAATCTGTGTCCCTTGAAATTTCCCTCTGCCTAGAATCTGATTATCTCTCTACTTCCTAGAACAACTCCAGAGGGGAAGAATCTGTCTTACTTGTTCTTCTTTTTGGGTGAGAATGCCAGGGTTAGCCAAAATTATATTCTAATCTAGAGGACAGTCATGCTCAGAAAGGTGGAGGGACAGAGCAGGGGAGGAAGGCCTGGCCTGTGATGGATTGATACAGCAACTAGGGCAATGGGAGTAGGTGTGTTGAAGTGAATGAGACTGGCTCAGGACAGGGCAGGGTTCAGAGCTGTTACATATAGGGTGACTACGGCTTGCAGGTGACTCAACGGCACATGACAACAACAACAGTCATTAAATTTGAATTATTAAAAGATTTGATCACATAGTACAAGATATGTCTGTGAGTATGACTGGTACTTGACTATTACTATTACTATATTACTATTACTATTACTTAGTGTGAATATGCAATGGTGAAAAAAGGTCTAGAAACTCTACCATAGATAATGTTTGTACTTCATTACGATTACATGTAATTAATTTTATAGAACACATCTGCCTTGATATCAGAACTTTGCTTTGTAGTAATAATTGTTAAAGTCTGTACTAGTAACTCAGTTAAAGTCACATTAATAAGAATATATTCTTATATACATGTTATGCTCATTTTTAAAAAAAAAATGTCTGTAATTTTTGTAATTCTCTTGGTAAATGGGGGAGGGGAATTCAAATTTAGAAAATTTACCAAACTTGTAGATTCAGTTGTGAGTTGCAGTGATGAATCTTGGCCAACGATATTGTGCCTCCAACCTAAACTCTTTCAGATAATTTTAACTCTTTGTGGAAACTTTGAAATATTTGCATCACTATGTTCAAATTATTAGATTGCTTTGCTACTTATAAAGTTTTAAAAAATCATTGTCAGAATTTTATTACTTGTTAGTATAAGCTTAAATCTATGTACTATCTTAAAAAGATGGATTTTGTTTGAACATGTATTCTTTAAAATGGAATTGTATTGATTTGTTCTTGTTTTAATTTTTATCAGGCTGCTAAGTTGGCTATCACGGTGCAAGCCTTGGAGTCCCGATGGGGGACTCAGGATCCAGAAGATCTACCCTGGTCTCCCGTTTGCCAATATTCAGAAGAAGTATTAGCAGAAGACATGACTCTCTTCCTTCTTCACCCTCCTCCAGTAACACTGTTGGTGTCCACAGCTCTTCTCCTTCCAGCACGAACTCAAGTTCAGGTAGTACAGGTAAACGCAGGAGCATATTCCGAACTCCTTCAATTAGCTTCCACCATAAGAAGGCAAGTGAACCCAAGCAGGAGCCTGCCAGTCAGAACCGTAATATTTCAAATGGTGCTCAACCTGGACAAAAACTGAGCTTAGAAGAGCAGATCAAAACCAGGGGAAGACATTCTGTTGGTTTTAGTAGTTCACGAAGTAAGAAGATAACAAGGTCTTTGACAGAGGATTTTGAAAGGGAAAAGGAGCACCCAGCTAATAAGAATGTTTTTATCAATTGTCTTAGTTCTGGCAAAAGTGAAGGGGATGATTCTGGATTCACAGAAGAACAAACTCGCCGTTCTGTTAAACAGTCAACAAGAAAGCTACTTCCTAAGTCTTTTTCATCTCACTATAAATTCTCTAAGCCACAGAGCCAATCTGTTTCATTAGTACAACAGCCTGGATTCTCATTGGAAGTTGCACAATGTCAAGAGAGAGAACCTGTATTAGTCAGAGCCTCTCCCTCTTGTTCTGTGGATGTAACAGAGCGGACAAGTTCCCTCCAATCACCTTTGCTTTCTGCTGATCTTACCACAGCTCAGACACCTTCAGAGTTTTTAGCCTTGACTGAAGATTCTGTATCTGAGGCGGATGCATTCCCCAAAAGTGGAAGCATGGCTTCCCAGTGTGACAATATCGGCCACAATGATTCTACCTCTCAGATCTCTCTCAACCCTGCTGCTGTTACAAAGACCACAATAGAACTTATGGCAAATGTTCCCTGTGCAGTTATGTCTCCTGGAAAACACAGATTAGAAGGTCCATGTAGTACTAAATCTACTTCCTTACCTGAAACCCCTGCTGCTAACCAGAAGGAAGTGTTATTGCAAATTACTAAACTACCTGTTATGGATGTGAGTGACTCAGAGATTTGCTTATCAATAGATAATCAAAGAGAAGACAATATGGTGTTACAAAATGGTGAGATGGTGCTGAGCACAAGCTCTCCAAGGAAGCTTGGATTTTATGAGCAACATAGAGCGATACCGGAACGTGTTAAAGGAATCCATCCTATCTCAGATTCAAAGATAATACCTGCTTCTGGTGATCATCATATTTTTAACAAAGCATCATATGGCTATGAAGCGAATCCCACCAAAGGTAAACTTCTTTTTGTTGTTCTATAAATGATATGAAATAGTTATCATTGTGATTTGCTTTGATTGCTTATTCCACCTACAAATGTAAAGCATATTTTCTCATATTTTCTCCACTCTTCTAGTATTTGTTCCCTTTTTATAAAGAAGTTCTTAATGTTTCTTCTGTTTAAGCCCGTCCCAGTTATACTATGCAAAATATAATTAGCACTCTTTTTCTTAGTCATGCTATCCAGAATCTGAACATAAGACATTATTTAGCACATTTATTTATTATCAGACCAAAATGGAAAAGAAATATTAATTACACTGTGATTTTTCACTTAAAGAAGGACTATCTTTTTAAAGCTCATTATAGAAATATTGATTTTTTAATTAAATAGATAGAGCCTAGTTGGAATAATTATGGAATCAATTGTTGCTGTTGTTTGATGCTGTCAAGTCGTAGACAACTCATAGTGATCCTATGAATGAATGGCCTGAGCACTGTTCGTACATAGAGTTTCCGGAGGCAAGCCATTTCTGAAGTGGACGCCGCTCCTGCTTCCAGGCTTGATTTAGTCGGGAAGCTCCAACCAACACTGTCTATCATGGGTACCCATTACCACGATTGGCACATCACTGTCAAAGTCTTAAGCATCACAGCAACCACGAGTTACCTCTGTAAGCAACGCATAGGCCAGTGCTATACCACCTAGAAGAATGTTTGACAGGAGGACAATTTGAACCTGGCCTGAGGGCCATAGGCCCGATGGCCCTTTGGACTTAAGGCTGCCTCCTGGTTCAAACCCTAGGCCCACACTGGCTAGCCTCACTCCCTGGGACAGAACGAAATCAATATTTTTAACATTTTAAAATAGTTTCATTGTAATGTAGGATTCCCATTTTTGCAAAGATACTCTCTAATGATACTTTGGAATCACAACCATTTAAAATGCTGTCAGAGACCCTGGTTATATCTCAGTTAATCTTGTTGGGTAGCTCTGTCATCTTGCACATCTTCTCCTTAGTGTTTTTTTTTTTTTTTTTAAACCTTAGTACCCCATTATGGCTGCAGAAAGCTCTGTGATTTAATATAAAACTCAGCTTGAGAAATTTATTGTATAGATAAAACCAACTGGGTTATATTAAGGCCTGAAAGATCAGTACACAGATGCCCACCAGATATGGGAGGTACCCTGATTTCTAATTAAGCCAGCTGTTTTAATCACCTGCTACTGTAGCAAGTAGTCTAGTACCTCAGCAAAAGACTAGGCTCCATAGACACAGACTTGACACAAAATTCACCATTGCTTATATTCATTGAATCCCTAACAAATTGAATTCTTTCAATTGTTCTAGCTTTATAACTCATTTACAGGCAAGGTAATTAGAACAGAGATAAACCAAGCCAAATCCAACCCAAACCAACCCACTGCTATCTAGTTTATTTTGAATCATGGTGGCCATGAAGGAAAGAACTATCCATAGGATAACCAAGAGTATACACCTTTATAGGGAAAGTGGCCTTATTTTTCTTCTGTGGGGTATCCACCACAACTTTTTTTCCTTTCTTCTGTACACACTGCATTTATCTCATTTAAACATAGTGTTCCCTTCTGCAGAAATATTAAAGGATATTATTATGGAGACCATTGTTATTATCATTATGTGTTGTCAAGTTGCCTGCTATCCACAGAAACCCGATGCACAACAGCTCTGAACCCTGCCCTATCCTAAGCCAACCCCACTGTCTCTGCCATACCACCCCCACTACCTCAGTAATTGAGTCAATCCATCTCATCCAGGGTCCCCCCACCCACACTGTCCCCCTCCAAACATGATGTCCTTCTCTGAGGACCTATCCCTCCTGGCAGCATGCCCAAAGCATGTCAGACAGAGCCCCAGATTCCCTGCCTTCAAGGAGTAGCCCAGTTTCACCCTCTCCAGAACGAACCTGCCAGTTCTCCTAGTGGTCTATGGCATGTTCGACTTCTCCCCAGAACCACAGCTCAAAGGCACCAGCTCTCCCTCTACTTGTTTAGCAGCGGAATGCCTTAATCACTGCACCACAGGAGATCCTTGGACAGAGATAGAGAAAGTCATTTTTCCAAAGGCACTAAGTTAATGAATGAGTGATTCAGGTATAAACCCAGTGACGTGCATGCTAATAGAATCAATCCTGAGTCAGATGCTTTTGAGACAGTTCTGATTCATAGTGGCCATACGTGTGTGCTTTATAGGATTTTCATGGCTATGACCTTTTGGAAACAGATCACACACATAACACCTGTTAGGGTTCAAACTTTGAACTACTTATTTAGTAGTGATGTTCTTAAGCCGGATCATCCCTCAGGGATCCTTGTTTTTGTGTGCATTTGAGTAGATTGCAACTCATAGTGACCCTCTAATACAAAATAATACTGCCTTGTACGAAGTATAAGGCTGTAAACATGACAGGAGTAGATCCTAAGTCTTGTCTGTCATGAATTTGAACTATCGACCCTTTGTTTACAGGAGAGGAGTTAAGCATTGCTCCCTAAATAAAAAGCAGCCCACTACTATTGAATTAATCCTTCCTCATGACTAACCATCATTAGTTTTCTTAGGTTGTAATTACCAGGAGCAGAGTGTGTTCTCTTTCTCACTTGATGGATTCGAAGCACTGACTTTTTGATTACCTACCCAACATGTAATATACTGTGTCACCAGAACTCCTTTAACTATTATTGCTAGGTGCTGGCATAGTCCACATTCCATGTATGTGAAAGTATGACTCAGAAATCATACGATTGTTGAGTGACAAGATAAAGTTAGAACCTTCTGAATCCACAACTCAAGTTCGTAATGACCATGATTAATAATAGACTATGAATTCAGTGTTTCTTAACATGTTAAGAATAATGCAAAATATTAAGTTAACATTAGAGCAAAATATGTATTAGAGTGCTAAGAATGGTAGACTTAACATGATTTATATATCTAGTCCTATAATACACATGCCGATTTTAAAGCTTCAATGCATTCATTAATTTACTACATTTTAAAAACAAGTATCTTAATATTTTTCATGATTTATATGTGATCATTTTTATGTAACTGCCTATTTTTTAATTTTATGAACTTTGTAGCTTATGGCTTGAATACCTATTTAACTACCTTAATAAAAATATAAAAATGATGACAATGATAACTACCCTTTCAGTGCCATAAATGGTTCTAAGTACTTTATATGCACTGTTTTATTTAATCATATAAACAATATTGTTTGGTAGTTATTAATGATTAAAGTTTACAATTAAGTTAAACAAGTCATGTGATCACATTGTTAGCAAATTACAGATTTTACTTTGCAATTTAGGCTATTTGAAAAGAGAGGACATAAAATATGTAGTCATGTAATTATCCTGAAATATATAATTCTTGTATGATGTATTCTTTCCCTAATTGAATATTATATATATTTATTTATGTGGAAGCTAGAGAATGACCACTTTTACCTTGTTGACTAAAAATCTGGTGACTAGGATTTCTAGCCATTTAAGATGTTGAAGTAATCCCATTAAATGTGACAGTAAGTTACAGTTTCTTCCTGACATTAACTGTTTAGCTATTATCAATTCTAACTTGAGAAAACTGTAATGTAGAAATAGACAAATATGTTGATAATATCATCAAGAAAACAAAATGATAGCTCTAGTGACCTAGAATGTGATCTATTCTAGAGAATGTTCCATGCACTTTGGAGAAGAAGGTATACTGCGCTTTTTTGGGGTGCATTAGTCTATAGATATATATGAGGTCAAGTTGGTTTATTGTGTGATTTAATTCTTCAGTATCTCTGTTGAGTTTTTTTCTGGTAGTTCTATCTTT